AAAGAAATAGTACCAAACCTTCATCCTATCTTTTCTAAAAGAATTGTTCCATTGGACAACCAAATAGATAAAGGAGAATATCTTTTCATTAATATATTTAACCTGATAAATGGGAAAAAAAAGAAAATTAAGACATCATCATTTTCAACCCCAGGGAATACACACACACACACACACACACACACACACACACACACACACACATATATATGCATTATTAAGCATCCGTGGTTGCTAACATTATAAGACAGAGAAACATAGTCTATTCTCATAACTAGAATGATCCCTTTAGTGTAAGTCAGATTATGTCCTATCTCTGGTAAATATCCACGATAGTGCCCCGTTTTACTAAGAGTGAAATTCAACAACCTTACAAATGCCTACAAGGACCTTTGAGAACTGTTATTGAATCAGCTCATTATCTCATTTCCCTCTGTTGAATGCACTTCTGTTACAGTGATTTCCTTCCTGTTCTTGTGACACTCAAAGTGTCACTTCAAGGCCTTTGCATTGGCTATTCCTTCTGCTTGAGTGCTCTCTTCCCTGCTAACTTCCTCACCTCTCTCAAGTCTTTGCACAAAGTTACCAGTGAGGGCTCTGGAGCCATCACATTGGAAATTACATTCCTCCCTTCTCCCCATCCTGCCATCAGCACACCCTCTCTGACCCTGCTATATATGGTTTTAAAGCTCTAGCTACTACTAATAATCATTACTATATTGTTATGTGTTGAATTGTGTCCCCCACAAAAAACACTGAAATCTTAATGTCTAGGAACTCAGAATGTCACTTAATTTGAAAATAGGGTCATCGAAGCTGTAATTAGGTTAATTAAGATGAGGGTCTACTGGAGTGTGTGTGTAGGGGTGGGCAATATGACTGGTATCCTTATAAGAAGATTGACATTTGAACACAGAGACACAAGGAGAACATCATGTGACAACCAAGACCCGTGATTGGAGTGATGCAGCTGCAAGGAACATCAAAGACTGCTGGTCAACCACAGAAGCAAGGAAGCGGCAAGGAGGGTTCCCCTGCAGGTTTCAGATGGAGCATGACCCTGTGGACACGTTGATTTCAGACCTCTAGCCTTTAGAACTGTGAGACAATAAATTTCTGCTGTTTTAAGCCACCCAGCTTGTGTACGTTTTAATAGTAGTCTTAGGAGACAATACATGTATTTGTACACTGTATCATTACTACGTAACTCACTTTTTGTGGTTCTTATTGATTATTGCTCGTCCACCTCCTGCCACTGACCCCCCACCTCCCAGAAAGCAAATACCAAATGAGCAGGGATCTTCTTGGTTTGTTTTGTTCACTAATATATCCCAAGCACCTAGAAGAGTTCCTGGTATACAGTAGATATTCAATAAATATCTGTTGACTAAAATAATCCTCATATGCATTTATTCATCATTTAATTATTTTAGTTGTTCTTTGTGCTTTCCTCAGGTTTCTTTTTTTATTTTTTTTCCATATACTGTTTTATTATTCAAAGTAATGGTCAACATAGCTAGCAGAATAATTTAAATAATCATTAAAACTCAATTTAACATCTCTTCCTGAATTAAATATTTTTAAATAATTGTGAAAAAGTAATGAGATTGACTGTTTATAATTTCATCTCCATTTATTTTCCCTAGCCATGCTTTTCTGAAGGTGGTATTGAATGAGTAATCAAGTCAGACACCAGGAAAGAATAGAAAAAAGTTGGATAATCAGCCCTTGAGCAACGGAGAGTTGAATGAACATAAATTGTGTAAGTCACTAAGCAAATCTCCATGAAAGAAATTATTATTCATAATAATCTTCTAAAACCAATAATCCCAATCTTAATGACTTCTATCCACCAACCCATCCAAACTTCTCAACTTCCTGTTATTAAGAACATTCACTCATTTCTGGTTAGGGAAGATAAATTGCTTCCTTTGAGTTCAATAGTTTAAGAGCCCCAAATTAGTTTATCCAGCTTAGCTAAACTCATCTATCAACAACAGCTAAAACAAACAAAAAGTTCTAACAATTGAAAAAAATTGACTACAATTTAGTAAGATAGCATAGGAGACTTCAGTATTGAAATGGCATAAAGTGTATTAATCATTCTATATTGTGGCCAAAAAAATTAACTTTATTATGTGTGCACATTTCAATATTCTGCCATATTATTTAATAACTGGAAATACAGATACCATTTACACCTCTGTGAAAATCTGTGAAGTTTGACAGTTATTGCACATTTGCAACTGTAAGTTACTCTGACAGGATAAAATACCTCCTTATGCATTTATATTGGCCCTTATCAGTCAGTTTTTTCCCCCTCCAGCCACTAACATTGAACCTTGACATTGATGGCCCTAGTGAAAGTGCAAATGCCTATTGCTTTTAATGGGAGGTCAGTCTTCAGCTTACACTTCTTTTTTTCTTTCTTCTTCTTTTTTTTTTTATAATTTTTATTTTGTCCACGGTGAGACAAAGAGGAAGGGAAAGAGGGAAAAGATTTTAATCACAAAAAATCACAAAAAGCTTCCCTTTCCGAAAGCAAACCTTGATGTTCTGCAGACAGTTTTACTGCATAAGCCATAGTGCAGAGCAAAGGGAGAAGGAGAAGCCCTTAGAATGAAAAGGAGAGGGGAAAAAAGAGAAAATCAAAAGTTAGCCAAGTATTTTTTTTTTTCACTTTTTCCATCTGCTATAATATAAAAACTTGGGAAGGACACTCATACAGCACCAGATAGATTAGAGGGGAGCTAAAAACTGAGGGGGCTTGTGACCCCTCAGGTCTAAAGGTCTAAAACAGGAATGAGACTGGGCATGGTGGCTGACACCTATAATCCCAGCAGTTTGGAGGGCCAAGATGGGAGGATCACTTGAGGCCAGTAGTTCGAGACCAGTCTGGGCAAGTGAGACCCTGTCTCTATGGAAAATGTTTTAAAAATATAGCTGGGTATGGTGGTGTACACCTGTAGTCCCAGCTACTTGGGAGGCTGAAGCAGGAGGATCACTTTAGCCCAGGAGTTAGAAGTTGCAGTAAGTTATGATCATGTTACTGCACTCCAGCCTGGGCAACAGAGTGAGACCCTGTCTCTATGGAAAATGTTTTAAAAATATAGCTGGGTATGGTGGTGTACACCTGTAGTCCCAGCTACTTGGGAGGCTGAGGCAGGAGGATCACTTTAGCCCAGGAGTTAGAAGTTGCAGTAAGTTATGATCATGTTACTGCACTCCAGCCTGGGCAACAGAGTGAGACCCTGTCTCTATGGAAAATGTTTTAAAAATATAGCTGGGTATGGTGGTGTACACCTGTAGTCCCAGCTACTTGGGAGGCTGAGGCAGGAGGATCACTTTAGCCCAGGAGTTAGAAGTTGCAGTAAGTTATGATCATGTTACTGCACTCCAGCCTGGGCAACAGAGTGAGACCCTGATTCAAAAACAATAAAAAGGACTGAAAAAGAGAGAGCTATTGTATCAACATGAGGTAGACACAACAGAGTAGAAAGTGTCTGGGCAGAGAGAAGGCTTGAGTAAACCCAAGCTGCATGTCTCAATTCTGTGTGACCTACGTGTGGAGTAGAGTTTCATAACTTCCCGCCTTGATGAATGCAAAGTCCCCCAATAGTTCCCAGAGTTGGCAAAGGGCAATGTCACTGACTACATTGGAAGACTCCACAGAGTAGACAGCCTAAACCTGGAACAAATTGGAGGTTTGAGGACGAGGCTGAGACCCAATCAATGAGTCTTTAAGTCAATGAGAGGGTAAGTCCTGCTGTCAGCAGGGGTGGGAGATTCTGGGGCTGGACTCTCTGGTCTTAACCTTGCTAAGAACAGACCATATATTAGACAGCAGAGGCAGAGACTGATGTAACATGGAGACCAGGAAAAATCATCACTTCTCAATGGGAGTTCAGCAGGAGCCAGCAGGGGGCACTTTTTTCCTTAGGGCTTGAGATCACAATCACTTCCTTTGTGTAGGAGGAGGGAGGGGGCAGAAAGAAAGCCCCCCCCCCCAAATTTTAGACTTTTATGGATTAAATATTTACCAGCCTAAATACTTGCAAGCTTAAAGGCTTTTTGTTTGTTTTGTTTTCCCTTATTATGAACAGGAATCAATGCAGGGGAATGTTTAAATCAGTTATAGGAATATTTTGCACATCTGAGCCTTATGTGCAAATGCTCAGTTGTTTTCAGAGACTTATTAGTTCTTTAAAAAACTGGCTAAAACAAACAAAAAGTTCTAACAATTGAAAAAAATTGACTACAATTTAGTAAGATAGCATAGGAGACTTCAGTATTGAAATGGCATAAAGTGTATTAATCATTCTATATTGTGGCCAAAAAAATTAACTTTATTATGTGTGCACATTTCAATATTCTGCCATATTATTTAATAACTGGAAATACAGATACCATTTACACCTCATGTTTTATAAAAGGTGTATATGAAAAAAACCTTTATTTGGTAGTGTTTAATAATTCCATTTATGGCTGCTGGAAATTTTCATGTGAGGCACACTCTTTTCAGCTGGATGAAGAATTAACTTGATCATTTCATTTTCTTCCAGTCTGTATTGTTTGTTGGATAATAGGCAGCTTATACTCCTGCAGACACTCTATGACTTACAGTTTAATATTGTGGTGTAAGTGTAGACATTATTTAAGACCTATTCTTATTTGGTAAATTAATTGTGTATTACTAGGAGAGTGAAGTTACATTGACAATTTGACCAATTCTCAATAATAGGAGATAGGCATTTTCCTGTAGGAATTTCAAAACTGTAATCAATGTTAAATTATAATCATAATTTGGGCATACCTCTGTCATTTAGTTATGATTTTCTGGGCCTACTAAATGTTTTCTGTATTTTCAAAATAGAAAAATTAAGAAGCCTGTGGAGTAGAAATGAAGACAGATAGATTATAGAAATTCCTTAAATTTGAAATTAAATAATCCTGAAGAAAATATTTTTTCTTATTGTTATATTCTTGGACAAAATACTGACTTGGTTAAATATTACTTTTATTTTAAGCAAAAAATACAATTCATTTTTTACAGGACAACATGAAATAGAAGATAATACTACCTTTAAAAATAAAGTTACAGATTGGATTGACACTGACTCTATACAACTAAATAAATTAATTATATTATTAAAATTATCTTCCATATATTATGAACTGACATTAAAATCCTGAACTCTTTCACATAAATTAAATTCCATATATTAACAAAATTTCTATTTATTATACAGACATAGTTATCACGAATATATCTTAGATGACTGAAACATTTTTTCTTTTCTTGGTAAACAGTGAGAACTATGACATATGAATACAGTGTATAAGGGACATTAAGTCAGCTTTAATTCCGTTATTAAGAAATCCATATAGAATTGGATTAAGACAACAGGACATCATGCCTAACAAATGACAAATGCAGTACACCAACTTGAAATGTCTGTTTGAAATAAGGTTATCATTAAAGTCAGTTACCACATGGAAAAGGTGTAGTGGCATCCAACTAACAGCAAACACTAGTATCAACATGGTCAGTCTGTAGAAAACACTTCGAGATCTCTTTTTTATTCTTGTGACAGAACGTTTTACTCTCATTTCATGAGCATCTGAGTTTTCTTCAGGTTTCATCTCAAAGCAAATGGGGACCCCTGGTATGAACTTACTGGATGAAGAGAGTTGACTCCTCCCAGAGCCAAAGTTTTCTGGAAGTGTTCTAGAATGGTTTTCTTGAGCAGGTCTTGCTGGAGCAGGTAATACACATGCCGTCTTCTTGCTGTATCTTCTTCTGTGCTTTCTGATTAATGAATAACTCCATTTATGGCTGTTGGAGAGTTTCACCTGAGGTCCACTTTTTTTGGATGGATGGAGACTTAAGTTGATCATCTCATTTTCTTCCAGTCTGTTTTCTTTGTTGGACAATCCGCAGCTTACACTCCTGCAGACACTGGTATGACTTACAGTTAGACAAACTAAGGGCAAAATATACTGAACTAGCAATAAAGAGATAGTAAAGGCAATTCTGTATGAATCAGATGGCCACGATTCAACACATAAATACCTGCTGCTCAGCAATGCTGAACCAAATGTTTCCTGAAGTTCCACAAGACTGTGAAACACAGGAAGGGGAGAACAAATTGCAAAACCTAGTGTCCAGACCGTAGCTATCAGAAAGTAGCCATGGTTTGCTGTTAAATTATTAGACATAGGATGTTTTATCATATGATACCTGACAATGGCAATTGATATTAAAATTAAAGTTGAAACCAAAACCGACACGCATTGAAGGAAAGGCATAATATGGCACATGACTTTGCCAAACATCCACTGATCCAGCAAGACAGAGGTCAGTGTGAAAGGTGAGCAAAATAGCACAACCAAGATATCAGAAAAGGCCAGATTTCCTATGAGGAAGTTTACTGTAGTCTTCTGATTACGCTTTTTCATGAGAGCCATTAAAATAAGTAGATTCCCCATAAAACCAAGAAGACTTACAAATGTATAGAGTCCAATCAGAAAATATTGTAAGTCATCTACACTGCTTTTATAGTCATCCCAGACTGGAAAATCAGAATTCCGAGTGGCAGTAGTATCATTCTCTGCAGAAAGTGTCTTGTTATAATACTCCTTGAGCTCTAAATCCATATTATAGTCCTGCTTGAGATAAAAAGACATTTGTTAGTAATGTGAAAAAAATTACATGACCACTTTAAATTAATCTATTCAGAGGGAAACTAAATTTTACAATTTGTTCCCATTACCTTTTTCATCAGCTAAGAAAGTTTATGAGGTTTTTAATTGGTTACAAATGCAGTGCAAATATCAACAATTACAGTAAGTTTAATTCTATAACTTCTATGTTGTATTAACTCGTGTTAAAGTAGCAGATTTTATTTTTTAAATTTCTGGGGTGGGTAAATAATGTGCAGAAAGGAAAAGGCAAATGCAGATAAGAACATCAAGATACATAATTTATAATAGCTCATTAATATTATTTTCTAGTCAAGATACTTGGTACATAATGTAGTCACATAAACTTACCTTAAGAATTCCTTTCATTCCTACCTGAAACAAGGCAAACTTAAAAGTCACCTGTCCTAAAGTGTCCCCTGGTCAACTCAACTGGATGTGACCCTCTCTTCAGAACTCCCATAATGCTTTGTTTATAGTTGTCTGATGCTACAAGTCACAATCTGCTTTAGTTGCAGTTATAATGCCTACCTATATGTACCTTATTTATTAGCAATGGAAAAGGAGAAACTGTCTATTACTCACAGTGGTATCCATCACTATACATGACATAGTAACTTCACTGCAGCTGTTAAATAAATATTTATGAGAGAATATAAAATTTGAACAAAAACTTAGCAAACTAAATATTATCTAGTTTATACAGTGCTCAAAATCTAAGTTCCTCAAGTGTAGGAACACTATGCCAGGACACAGGTGTATATATTAGGCACTCAATAAATGTTATCAAGCTGTATTGTTGATTATATAGACACATGCTGATGACAAAATCATTCCATGATCAGTTCCCAGTCCTGTAAAATGTGCCAGATTATCATGGATTAGGACAACCACTGAATGACCAGCAGTGCTGTTGGCATTTTTAAAGATAAAATTCACCTGTTTATTTTTTAATTCATAAACTGTATATATGTTTCGGCAAAAAAAAGAGTTAATGAATTTATGTTGTTTAAGGAAAACATTGTATCTTAAAATTAAATGTAGAAGCGATACTAATATAATTCTTCAAAATAAATTGTTTTCATTTCAAATGAAATTAGTGTCACACCACAATACCACTACTTATTTGCCTCTACGTATTAGAGATTTGATGGTACTGCCTGATGAGGCACTAAATTCCCTATAACTGCAGTCCCAAACCCGCGGACCACAGACAGGTACCAGTCCCTGGCCTGTTAGGAACTGGGCTGCACAGCAGGAGGTGGGCTAGCGAGCCCAGCTTCATCTGTATTTATATCCACTCCCCAACACTTGCATCACCACCTGAGCTCTGCCTCTGGACAGATCAGCAGCAGCATTAGATTATAGGAGCATGAAGCCTACTATAAACTGCGCATGTGAGGGATCTAGGTTGCGTGATCCTTATGGAAATCTAATGCCTGATGATCTGAGGTGGAGCTGAGGCGGTGATGCTAGCGCTGGGGAGCAACTGCAAATACAGATTCCTATTAGCAGAGAGGTTTGACTGTACAATAAATGTCATGTGCTTGAATCATCCAGAAACCATCCCCCACCCCCAGTCCGTGGAAAAATTGTCTTCCATGAAATCAGTCCCTGGTGCCAAAAAGGTTGGGGACTGCTGGCTTATAACATATCAATAAGAGACAAAGGAACTCCTCCTCTTCTTTGGAAAAATAAGCAATTTCATTTTTTTTTTAACAAGAATTTCCTATAGAAAACTCAAAACAGCAATAGTTAATTAATTCTGATGAATATACATTGTTACAGAGATCTTGATATATATGTAGTTATAAAAGCACTTTTACTATATATCAATATATATTTTCTACTTATTTCTAGAAATATAATTGAATAATTATACTCAAAGCTGTAAAATACATGTATATTTAAATTAATAGTAAACACTATTATCTTCAATATATGAGGGACTTTTAGGTCCTGGTCCAATAAATTTCCAAATAGGAAATCCTATTGTGTACATATACATTCATTATAAATCAGTTTAACTTCAGTTTTATATATAGCAAGTTTCAAAAAGGATGATATAGTCATCACCGTGCTATGAGAAGTGTTGAAAGTTTCTCAGAACTTCTACAACTGATTCTATGTAGACTGAATTACCCTCTGGAAGCTAATTAAATCCCTTTAAACATAAATTAATTCAAAAGCTCAGGATCATATTCATTCATTCTTAGACTCTAACCAACAATTTACCTTGCCGGGTGTGGTGACTCACACCTGTAATCCTAGCACTCTGGGAGGCTGAGGCAAGAGGATAGCTTGAGGTCAGGAGTTTGAGACCAGCCGGAGCAAGGGTGAGACCCAGTCTCTACTAAAAATAGAAAAAATTAGCCAGCCAACTAAAAATAAAAACAAAAAATTAGCCGGGCATGGTGGTGAGCTCCTGTAGTCCCAGCTACTCGAGAGGCTGAGGCAGGAGTTTGAGCCCACTTGAGCCCAGGAGTTTGAGGTTGCTGTGAGCTAGGACCGATGCCACAGCACTCTAGCCTTGGCAACAGAGCAAGACTCTGTCTCAAAAAAAGAAAAATAAAAAACAAAACAAAACAAAAAAACCAATTTATCTTGATATTGCCTCAAGTGAAAAATAATAACTGGTACAAAAGTGACTCACATGGCCTACTGAATCATCTTATTCATCACATTACCAGTAAATAGCTTCCCAGCAACTACCCTGTATAGGTCAGTGAGCTTCTAATCAAAGCAGCTTTGATTGATGTTTCTGCCTAATTTCCTGAGTTCTGATAATGCCCTGGCTGGATCTACCTTATTCATGATCCTATTTATACCTATAACATGTACAGGCCATTTGTAACTATAATCCTGCTTAGTTGTTCTTTTGACTCACTTTCTTGAATCAATCCTTTTCTCCTAACTTTGTGGTAGGTCAGTTGTTGTTGCCTTTTTTTCTACTACCAAGGCAAGGACAAGAAAGAAATTAGCTCTTTCTACAATGGCTCTGTGCTTTCTTAGGATATGTAACTGTGGATGACACTTATCTAGAGTAAAATTGCTGTCCAAAACTTCTTGAAGAAAGAGAAATGCAGCACAATTCGTAGTGATTTAAGAAAATGTAGTTTTGAGTCTAACATTCAGATTTTCTCCAATGTATGTGTCCACACCTCTCTATTAGATTCTAATGGAGATAAGGGGAAAGTCTTAATTATTTTCATGGTAGTGCTGATACTTAATAGAGTATATTATACATAGTGGATGCTAAGTTAATATTTGTTACTAATCATTATAGAAAAGTAGTTTAATTTCCACAGCTTCAGAATAACAGAAATGAATCATCCTGGGAATGTGAGCAAATTCAGGATAGAGTTTGACTATATATGTGTGTGTGTACACACTTATGTGTGTATAAGCGTGTTTACATACACATATATAGAGAACCACTGAAATTAGAGAAGCTTTAAATGGCCTAAAATTAAATGAGGAAAAGATACTCACATAGACAATGATAGTTTTGCACTTTAAAATTTTTAATTGGATATCTTCATTGATAAAGGCTATCGCATAAGCAACATGAAACTGAAATTGCAAAATATATTTACAACATATGTGTTTATTTAAATGAAAAGAAGTACATCTGATTGCACACTTTGTTACTAAAACTTTCCTATTTTCAATATGTGCACATAAAATACTGAATTTATTAAATTATGAAAACCACTGTCTCTTTGGCAAACAGATGAAGAAAATGCCATCCGGAGTATTCATTGGACATAGGAGAAAAACTGAGTACATTTCTTTCATTCCCTGAAATATGTGAGTATTTTAAGAAAGCAAATAATTTACATATAATTTTAAAGGACAGGCCCCTTTCATTAATAAATAGCTAAGAAAGATTAGTTGTTCCTTCCTTTATTCATTCAATAAGTATTTATTGAACATATAATATGCTAGGTGCTCTGCTCCACTCTGATGACATAAAGATGACAAATACAATACAAGGTACTATGCAAGGAATATTCTCTGAGGGATTAATTAGAGGTCATACAGTGAGTAACTGCAGACTGACATATAAAAGTCCTTAAATGGATAATGAATGAATGAATGAATGGCATTTTCCTGACTGTCAATGATACACTCTTTCACTACAGCATGGACACTTGCACTGTTGCTGAATATAATGGATACTTATGTAGCTATTGATAGATCAATTAGTAAACTATCTTTTTATTCTCTCTCCCCTAGCATTTATTCACTCATTCCACATTCATTTATTCATTTTATTTTGCTGTGACTGTAGTCAACTTTCTCCTGCTCTCCCTCTAGCCCCACCACACAAACACACACACATACAACACCTAATATGGTACTCTGCACAAAATCAGCATTCTGTGAATCTTTGCTCCAATGAATAGTTTCTTCTCACAACTAAATAATGGATATTGCAAATGGAGAAGGGGGGCGTGGACATGTTAAGCAGTTTTTTTTAAAAATACCTCCTTGTAGCCAGGGAATAGTTTAAACGTTAAGAGAATTGTGTCCAATAAGATTTAGGTCTTCTGTTTTAAAGTTGAAAATTTAAGGTAGAAGAACAACTCTAAAATGAAAAAAAAAAAGCACGAAAAATTTCTTTCCTTAAACTTACCCCTTCACTTCCTTTTTCCTGAAAAACACAATAAGTAAACCTACACTGGAAATGTAAATGCTTAATAATTCTCTGCTTTTCAACAAGTGCTACTATGAGCACTGTACCATTTTATGCAACACAAATATTTTATACATAATAAAAGTAATGAAACGTAAAGCTTACTTCAACTCAGATTACTATAGAAATTATGAAGTATAGCCAAAGAAAGAATATTTTAAAAATGAAAAACTATTTGACAAGAAATCTGATATGGACGGTGTGAAACCTTTGTTGGACCTAATTACTATATTTTGTGCTTTTATTTTGTATGTAATCGTATCTCCCACCATCAAATTTCCAGGCTGAGACAATGAGCTTCAATTCTCTGAGTAAAAAGTGAAAAAAAGAAAAGTCCTTCATTAAATTGTGGCAACTCTAATAAAGCAATGTGTCTGTAAAGATTTATTGGAATTTTCTTATAAATTGGTGTATATCTGACACCTAGACAAATGAAATCTTCTGAATAGGATTTAAGTATTTTAGGAAAGTAAATAGTTCTTAAAAAGAATAATAGGAGGAACTACAGGGAACTCAAAGGATACTGAGAGACTGATACATATATTTAAACAAGGTTTCTTAGAATAATTTCCTGCCTTATGAAAATGTACATCACTTTTCTCACAAAAGGTGCCAATCACACAAATAAATAAAATACATGTAATTCTTTTCTCTAGCAATGATAAATTATCAATTATAATGATCCTGGAACAATGGCAAGATTTCATGTTCCCAAATATTCCCACAATTTATTCCTAAAGCTAAAATCGGGTAAAACTTGAATTGGAAAGATAAACACAGCTCTGTTTAGCTGAGAAACACACAAGCATGCGCCACCCTCCCTCCTTAGTTCTAACGGAGAGTTTCTCTTCCCTTGAGAAATTTGAAATCTAAAATTGCATTCGGGCTACACAATTCTGCTGAAAGAGCCTTAGGCTGTTTCCATGGTCTATGTGGCAAAATCTTTTCGGCTTTGGTCCAACAAAATGCCTCAGTTCCTTTAAAAAATAAACTAAAGGTTTGTAAACTTGAGAACAAGAATTCCAGTTTCTGGAATTCGAGTTCTACGGGTGTACGTTATTGCTAGCGTTTGTCATTTGAGGCCCCCTTGCAAACAGGAGCGCAAACCTAGGAGCGCAGCCGCCTCCCAGTCTAGGGCCGGCGGCAGGACTGCGCGATACTGGACCGCCTCGCCGGCGCCCCGCGAGCTGCGCCCCGGCCTCACCAGAGACCCTCTAGGGCTGAGCCCTGACCCGGCCGCCGCGGGGGCTGCAGGTCCCCAGGCTCGGAGGCCAGCCGGCTGCACCCAGAGCTCGTCTGGCCGCGGGCAGCGCTTTGTCCACCCCTCTTTTCCCCACTCCCAAGGAGGCTCAAGCGCGGATCCCGGACACTCTCCTTGGGGTTTCGGCTCGTGCCTGTTCCACCCCGGGTGAGTTGGGGACTGGAGGGACCTGCGCGGCACCAAAGAATTCAGCCCAGTACCTTCCCGCTGTGCCTTCACGCCTGACGATCGCCCGTTCCGCCAATCTAACCCCCCATTTTTCCAGCCGCGCCTCCTTTGGCTTCCTCACCCCGTCCTCTTGGGAGCCCCGACCACCCCCTGGAACCCGAGACAGGGTGCGGGCTCCTAGGGCCCTGCGCAGACTCGCAGCCCGCGCCCGCACCAGCACGGTCGCTCGGTGCGGGCCCACCCGGCGCCGAAGGGGGCGGCAGGGAGGGGCTGACGCCTGTACCTCGGGGCGTCCCGGCCGCTGCAGGCCCTCGGCTCCAGGGAACGCGGCCGCGCGATCGCTCCCGCACCCCGGAGGCGGCGTCGGCGGCTGCAGCAGCGGCAGCCGCAGGAGCGGGACTTGGAGGTGGCGGTGGGGAGGAGGGGGCGGGGAGCCGCGGGGGCTTTAGATGCGCGCGGGGAGCACGTGACTGCTCCGGGGACCCCCGAGACCCTGCTCCAGAGCGCCTGCTCCGCGCCAGCCTCTCCCAAAGCCCGGCCGGAAGCATCCCAGGACCTACGCCGTTGTTTGGGGACCCTAGGGAGAAGCCACAGGGCCCTAGGATGTCTCCCCGTCACCCTGGCCTCTGGTTCCAGGGTGACCAAGTTAACTTGATGGGCAAATAGAGTTTTGCTGATCCTGCCCCCAGCCCTGTGTAGCAGCTGGAACTTTTGAAATGGTGTTGAGTGGGCTTATCTCTAAGAGCTTAGGCTTTCTGACAAGAAGCCTCAAGGCTCTCTTTGTTCCCCCCAAAATAAAAACAAACAGAACACTGCTCTTTCTTGCACCTTTTCGAAGTAAGGAAGAACTCTAGGTGGGGAGGTTGACCTGGACGTTCTGGGGACGCAAGGGAGTCTGTAGGGTTGCGCCCTGAAGAATGGGAAAAAGGATTGATTCCCACTGTAAGAAGTAGTAGCTGAGAGTGTGGGCAAGCGGCTTGTGCTGAGGAGTGTGATTGAAAGACAACTATACTCAATAAGAAAAAGACGACTAGGAACTAAAGAGTTGTCATAGGTAAAAAAATAAAATAAAATAAGATAAATAAACAAATGGCAAAATAAAAGCTGCCCCTCCCAAAAGGCGAAAAAACCTGGCCTCTTTTTCCTCAACATGATTTCCAACCCTAATGTTTCCAAATCTGTATTGCGCAGGTTTGCCTTATTGTTACCTAATCATTACTTGGGAGGTACTTTAGGGATGTCTGTGTGTGTGTGTGAGAGAGAGAGAGAGATTGAAATTGTTTTTGGACTTAGCTGCGCCATGAGAAAGGGTGTATTTATGGTACACTCCAAAACTGAGAACTATTATGTGACAGTCACAACATCCTCTGATGAGTGCAGTCTTGTGGGATTGGTGCTCTGTGAGCTCAAGAGGACTGTATCCCTTGGGAACAGTGAGACTTGTAAATCTGACTTCTGGGGTAAGGATCGCCAGCTATTACCCCAGCGGTCAGAGAAAAATTTTTGTGCGCCTTTTCTGCTGCATTTTAGCATTCAGTACTCAGGGGATCTGTTTAGAGTGTCATTTCATCAGCTAGAAAGTCATCCAAGAGATTTTAAATACTTTCGGTAAGTCTAGTTCCTATTTTATTTTTTTGTGTTTTATTTCTGAAATACTGACATACTCTCCGCAACAGCTTAGCACAGTTGGTAGTCTGAGCAGGCCCATAGGATTCTGCAGTGAAGGAAGGGAGAGATGGAAATGTCAAGAAGGGATGACCTTGAGAAAACAAGGCTTAGTTTGTAAACTTTCTTAACTCCACAATCCCTACAGTTAATGCTCTACCCATTGCCACATAAATTTCTATCCTTCCAACCCTGGCAGACTCGTAACATGTTTTCTTTAAATAGGCATTGTCTTTAAAACAACTTTTAAATGAGCCCCACTGTGACTATCTTTCAAAATCTAGTCGTTTATGCTATAGGCTTTTGCATATTAAAAATGCAAAATGAATTTTATTTTTTCTTTTCTATGAATTTGTTTCTTTTTTCTTTTGATGATATGAACCTTTAGGTTTAAGTAATTGTTATTAGAATATTGAAAATAAAAGGTCAAGGTGCTACTGAGATGAAGATTCTGATTATCCTACCCATTTTTCCTTCCTTCTGAACCCACAAACATGCAAACCTCAAAATAGGGAAGCAGAACTTCTTCTTTAAGTACCTATTACAATATACAGAATTAAGGACAAATAGAGTGAACAAATTATTATTATTATTATTATTCTTTGTTTTCAAAGAAGTTTCAATTTGAAAATTTCCACAATATGCTACATAAAGAGAAGGATATAAAGATAAATGTGCTTTTCCTTTCAGTTTCCAAGGAGGGATTCAAGACTGATCATCACCACTCTTTGTAGACCATAAGAGAGTAATTTTGTTTTTCTTTTATGGAGTAACATTCAGACAAGGGTAGTACTATCTCTGGGAAAAGAAATAGTAATGTCCACATCTGTTTTATGTATTTTTCCTACTCATTATTTGTAAAATGCTCCTTTGGGAAATTAAGTTGGATTTTATGCATGTTACAAAATTGAACTCGCTGTTTCCCAGTTTTCGTGGTTTGTTATCAGTTATGGAAGAAAGCTTATTTGTATAGGTGAAAGTTAAAGATCACTTGGGACTGTTAAGACAAATAATTGAGCAATAAACCACTCTCACAACAATGCCTGGGGTAACATTTTGCTGAGGAACATGACTGTTGTCTTGTCAAAGTTATTGTTGCATTTTAATAACAGCTACCATTTGTGGAGGACAGTTACCGAAGTGCTTGGAAATAATCTTAAATGATATGTGATTTTGCTATATTAGTTATAAGAGCAGTGGGAGTAAATAAACTAGAGAAAATAGTATTATGTGACTTTATGTATTTTTTTCTCTGAAAACTTTTATTGTATTCATTGAAAGTAATGTTTCTTTATCCACTTTTTCTATCATAGTAAATTTAAGTGCTTAATACTTAAAAGATGTGGAAAGGACCGTTTCTGTGTGTTATCAAAAATATTTTTATGATACTCTTTGCTGCATTGATTTCTTTGGAATAGTAATTGTCATTAATATATAACCCAATATCTAGGACTTAAAATGAGAAACTACCTTATTATTGTGATATGCATGCAATTTTTTTAATGAAGCAAAAGCTATTTTTTTTTTAAGTTAACCAAAAGTATTGTGTGCATAGAGTCATTTTCCTAGGCCACCGAAGGATAATTTTGAGAGCCTATGGGGGTACCATAAACATTTCATTGGCTTCTTCTGGTAAACACTGTGCTCCTTAAGCAACACCACTTCTGTTGATGCCCTAACGATTAGACCATTGAATATAAAGCAGTGACTAATTTCCAGAGAGAATGTACAATTCTTCTTTAAAAGTAAATTCCTATGTTAGAAATACACATATATATGATACATATGTATATAGTTATATGAGTACACATCACACACATATTTGTGTAATAGACACTATCGGAACACCTGGTGTGCAGCCAGGCTTTATCTCAAATTAATGGTGTGGCTTTAGACAAGGCATTTGATCTTTTAGTCTTCACTTTCTTTGTAAAATTAAATGTTTGACTCTCAGATCTGGAACCCTCTTTGAATTCTGAATACCTATGACTTTGTGTCATTAATGAGCATGCATTATAGACTTATGCATAGAAAAATAATCCTTTTGGATCTTCAGAAAAATTTGGTAGTCATAGATATTGTTTGTCTACCCTCCATATTAAAAAAAAAAGAAGGAAATAAACACTGTTGATAAAGTTTCCCATTGTTACTGGCAAATTCTCTTCCCTGCAGCTGGTAATAATTACATAATTATATTTCATTCATTCTTTTCAAAAAGTAGGTTTCAAAAAATACCAACAATTCATTTTTTATCTAATTATATTATTTTTAAGTTTTGCAACACTATACATATATATATATAAAAGAAGGGAACATGTATTCCTTTGGCCACATAATATTTTATGTGTAAATCTGTTACATAGGCAACGTAATCCTTTCCTATTGTAGATCAAAACTCCTCTGAAAAATGGTTTTGATAAATATCCTCCCATATTTTTAAAAAATAAGTTTCCATTTCCTATCTAATTCTTTTGTGGTTAATATTTTAAATCTAGTTATAAGTCTAAACATAGCTTTACTATATTTAAGTGGAAATGAAAAGGAAAGAGTTTATTTATTTTTGGTGTGTTGGTTTGTTTTAAATAGTTCTTTTTAAAAAGGAGAATGTGTAGATAACTATTCAAAGTATAAGTCCGAATCAAAAGTTGTCGTGGCTGAATAATGTGCTCTTCAAAAATGCTTGTTACTATATTCTTACTCTCATCATTCCCACAGATAATTCAGCTTTTAAAAATATGTTCTTCAGCAAGTAGAAAATAATATGACAGATCTCCTCTAGTAGATATTATAAGCATTTTTAAAGGCAGTAGGCCATTATTCAAGTTTATACTTAATGGGGGAAGCAGAACCAACACATAAGAAAATCTAAAAATATAAGAAGGATCTTCAGGATGAGTATATTATATTAATAAGCAAACCACATAAAATGTACATGCATAAAAATAGAAATAATCCATCCTAACTACAAATGCCGAGGACTTTTTTAATGTTTGAGATGAACAAATGGGCACGATTTGGGATATTCAAAATTTTGGTAGTCTTACCCCATTTCTGTTTTTTCACTCTTTCAACAAACTTCTTCAGTATCTTATGACACGCCAGCTATCGTTCTAGGCACCAAGTTTAAAGAGGTGATAAAAACAGTCACTGTCTTCAAGAGATCACAGTGTAGTAGATCTGGGCATATAGATAATTAATGGCAATACAATGGGATATGTTCTATGTTAGAAATAAACCTAGTGTGCTGTAGTAATAGAAATAAGAATGCAAGCTCAGGCTGTGAGGGGAGTTGTAGAGACAGATATAAGAGAGGGCTTTATAGTTGAGAAGATACTTGAGCTGAAATTTGAAGGGTTGGTAAGAGTTAAACAGGCAGATGGAGAAGATGTGGGCATGAGAAGCGGGACAGGAGCATGAAGGCGAGTGTGTGATGTTCACAGAAGTACAAATGGCTCGGTATTACTGCAGTGTGTAAGGTAGAGGATGATACTGAAAATTCTGGTTAAAAAGGACATTGT